TAGCCCAAACAATAGGCCTAATCAAGACCCAATGATAGGGAGTTTAGAAACCAATGGGCCTCTTCACCATAGGGGCGTGACTAACCATCCCCACCCAGTCCTCAAAAAGGCCACGCTCAGCCTTTTAGCGCAGAGCAACTTCCCGGAGTCTTCACGGAGACTTCAGGGTTGTCTACCGCTGACGAAGCTTCTGTGAGAGAAGCGAAACGTCCTTTTTTGTTTTTTGTTTTTTGTTTTTTGTTTTTTACCCACAGGTACAGATGACGACTGACAGAACCCTTTCTACGATGGTTTCAGCTTGTTTGTTGACTTTTCTGTCACCATGGAAAATCGGTGACTTCATGAGTCTATCTGAGAGGGCAGGGCACACGCTGACGCCTCATTATGCATGCAAATATGGGCGCGCGCGCGCGCGCGCGCACACACACACACACACACAAACACACACACACACACACACACACACACACACAACTATAAAGTTACTCAACAGGAAGGAAATGTGACAACAGGAAGCAGTTTAACAGTCCTGCTCTCGAACCATATTTGTGCCGGTATATTTGAGTGTGTCTGTTTACAGTGTGTGTATCAGAGGCAATATAATGAATTATGTATCCCACGTATAATCGCCTTGGCTGTGTCTGTCACAAACAAACATATTAGCATATCTATCAGACAGACAGAGAGAGAGAGAGAGAGAGAGAGAGAGAGAGAGAGAGAGAGAGAGAAACAAGTCCATGCTATTGCCAAAATCGCACCAGGCAAGCCTGGGGTTGCCACAGAAACAGAGCCACGTGATCATGGAGCTGGTCATCGGGAAGACAGATGCTCTTGGGCTTTTAGACAGACGGTGGGAGGAGTTAATAACGGGACAAAGTATGGTGAAGTTGGTTCACGGAGGAAAGATGTGGGCGCATGTTAAGAAATCGTGAGAAATCAAAGTCTTGTTTGTTTTGCTCCCATGCAGCAGTTATGAATGGTGAATTATTTATTTGAGTTGAAGCCATTGGCGCAAATACACAACACCGACAAAAGGAAGCTTCTTTGGCCGTTATGCATTCACACCGATGACAGTGCGAACACACCACGTGAGATATTTGGACTGGAGGTCGGATGGTGATATTTTCACAAGTCAGTGTATCAGCCAAATATTTTGAAGTTATAATTCAAATGTGTTGTTATCATTTATTCAGCAGGTGTAGGCCATTGATGTAGTGGTTCACACGTAGGCATTTGAGCAGTTGAAATAAGCAGTTGCTTGCACGCATGCATTATATGGTATACAAGGTACTGTGCTTTATTCTAGTCATATTTGACAATTGCATTGGCAATATTGTAAAGTGAAGGTTCTCTTGCACTTTCGTCTTGCGCCTTTGCCCACACTGAATGCCGCCCACATGTCTGTTTTGAAATTGACCTCGTGTGCATTTGAGTTCTGCCCCTTCTTTTTTGCCACTCATCATTCAACCTGAATTCCTGTCATGTCTGGTCATGTGTGCTCTCACTTGGGCTCTTCTTTGTGATCTCGTGACAGTTTGCGTCACAGCTGGCACGAGTGGGAGGACTTCATATCCCCCTTTTACTCGCTCCAACCTGCCAAGACGATTTAAAATTCTGTTTTGCGACGCTAACTTTCAGAACATCAGGTTACTCGTTGACTGATAAAGACATTGTTACTCATAAAACACAACGACAAACTGCCAATCTTCACCTAAAAATGTGCTTCTCGACTGTGTTCACCCTGTTTTGCAGTTTGACTCTCTGAACCAGGCCAATATTTTAAAAAGATAAGACATGTTGTGCAAATTTGTCCCAGTTAGTCCCCCCAGGAAGTGTTGATTCCATGGAGAACAGTCCTGATTCTGCAGAGAGCAAATTTTGATTCCCTGGCTTGAAAGTTTTCCGCAGTGTACCAATAAAGTAAGAATTCTTTTAAGGTAATCATCTGCAAAACCAATACAATGTGGAACATTGTGGTTCTAAAATTATCAACATCAGTCGCATCTGTGTCCCTCAAGGGCACATTTAATAAATAATAATAGTCGACTCCATTTCATTATTTATAAAGGGCAAAACATTTCACCAAAGTATGGGTTTGACGCAGAACAAGTGATATTAAAACAAAGATTTTAAATGTAAAGAAGCTATTTGACCTGGAAATTGTAATCATACATTGTAAACATACTGCATACCGTATGACCATAAATGCAATTCAACCACACAGACACGCGTCAATGATAAACGTCATCTTTATGAGACGTCTCCGTTACGTGTCATCATTACTGGACGTTTTCGTGACGCCTCATTTCCTCAAAAATATCATCACTTAGGGCATCGCTCGTCCGTCGATATAAAATGATTTTAAAAATTGCCTCTACAACTTAGATTATATTTGCTTTCGCAAACACTGCCGCGTATCATCGTCTTTTGCATGTCACGCGACGTCGTGCTTTGTGCGCATGCGTGACACGTCACGGACGCGTTCGTTCAAGTGAACGACCGACACAAAAAGTGTGATTGACGGCCACGTCCAGTTGGCAGGTTGAAAACTACATATGAATGAACTGCAATATTCTACACCTCGCCCTGATTGTATTTCCGCGGTCTGCTTTCAATCCCTCCAGCAGCGCATCTCAACACAGTCTTACTCTTCTCATACTCATCTCACTACTACTTCTCGACCCTTGCAAATTTCATCATACGGTACCAAAACGCCTCCCTTGGCACCCTTTCGCACATAGTCCTTCTCGAAATCTGTCACAACACAATACAGTTCAATCTGACCCTTGTGGTACTTCCCCTTCTCAACTCTCAGGGTAAACGTGGCGTCTGTGGTCTCTCTGGGTATAAAACTATGCTGTTGCTCCAATTATTGTCTTAACTCATTAAATGCCAGTCAATTTCTCAATTTCTATATCAGTGGAACCGGGCGTGTCCGACTGCGTTGTGTTTAAGAATATTGACGACGCACCAGCAGGATTTGTTGTATTGGCTGACTTTTATCGTCTCAATCACAAAGGCGAACGAAAATAGCAGACCACGTCCTCTGGTCAATTACAGTAATACAGGATGCCCCTCTAGCTCTACAGTATATGTGCATTATGATTGACTGGTGTCCAGTCAAAGCCTCTTGCACCAGGCTTTAGATACCCATGGCCTTGCACAACATAAGCCACATAGAAATGGATGGATGCATGCATGCATGTTTTATTCCATGTTTTACCTGATCTGTAGGTATTCACGACCTACTGTAACGAAGACTATGATCGCCGTAATGATGACGTGGACCCAATGGCAGCCTCGGCCGAGTATGAGCTGGAGAAGAGAGTTGAGAAGCTGGATCTGTTTCCAGTTGAGCTGGAGAAAGGTGAACACACAGACAGACACAAACATACACGTCAACAATGACTGAGTCACTCAGACAAGCCTCTTGTCTAAGTACACACACACACAAACGACCAGCCACAACATTGTGACCACATATGCAATATGATATTAGGAACAGCTTTTATTTTGGCACGCCGTTGACAGCTACAACAACTTAAATTATTACCGGTCTGCCAGTGTCAAATCATATTGTATAATCTTTGTACACACGGACTATTTTATGCATGTGGTCCATGCGCTCAGCAACGGACAAGGCGCCGCTATTAGTGGACAAACACGCATCCATCATTTGGCGAACAACTCGGTGATCCCATTAGGAGATTAAAGTCAGCGGAGATTAGCCTCATTCGGGGTGTAATTCTGGAGGTGATGGAATTGAACTAGCAACCACCCCCACACGGGTGGTTAAAGACAACGTCCAACCAATAAATACAGCCGATCGAAGGGTTACAGTGCATACACTCTTTGGTTATTGTCTTCAAACTAATTTCCTGTAGAATCAAGAAAATATCTAACATACAAATGAAATGACATCATGACACTGCGCGTGTGTGTGTGT